TGGATACTATATTTGTGAATGATCCAGCTTTACTCAAGCAGTTCTTGATAAGTATTCCTTTCACTTTTGTACATGTACAGTACATTTATCTATGCCCTGTCTGTGTATGTTGACTGATAAGGATTTGTTTTGGGGACAATAGCAAAATATTTTAGGGTTAGAGATACCTAGATCAAAGCTACTATTTCATAGGTTACCTTTCCTAGCCATATTTTTCATACCTCTTGCCAGTGGAATAAAAATCATTATTTAGGGCCTGATCCTGCAAACATTTATGCATGTATCTTTACTCACATGAGTAGTCCCATTGACTTCAATGAGACTGCTTGCATTAGGTAAAGCTATTCACATTGTGTTGTCAGGATTGGGCACTTAGGTTTCTTTATTTAAGCACTTTTCTGTGCTTTTAAGTGAAAGTGAAGTTAAGAGGAGTTTTCTGGAAGGGAAGTTTATGATGAAACTGTCATTTTGTGCATCTAATATACATGGCGCTTTGTTTTTGTGGAGTCTTGCCTAGTTTTTGAAGTATGGCTACTGATTAATCCACTAATCATTCATTGTGAAAACATAGAAAATTAATTTTAAAATGCACATACATGTATATGCATGCTGTGTGAAACTACACTGTTCAGGCTTTGATTGTTTGGATGAAAATGTTTATTAGTGGTAAGAAGTCTAAAACCTGGTGAATGTAAAAAATGAACCTTCTATTAAGTTCATTTGAACTTTGAAAACATGTGCTAATATGACAACCATGTGTCTAATCTTTGCAGTTCCAGTTTTAAAGAGAAGTGAAAGTTTAATAATTAGCAAAATACCATCCAATTTAGAAGTCATAAGAATGGCCATACTGGGTCAGACCAGTGGTCCATCTATCCCGGTCTTCCAACAGTGGCCAGTGCTAGATGCTTCAGAGAGTGAACAGAACAGGGCAATTTATCGAGTGATCCATCCCCTGCTTCTGGTAGTCAGAGTTTATGGACACCCAGAACATGGGGTTGCATCCCTGACCATCTTGGCTAATAATCATTGATGGACCTGTCCTCCACGAACTTATCTAGTTCTTTTTTGAACCCGGTTGTACTTTTGGACTTCTCAACATCGCCTGGCAAGAAGTTCCACAGGTTGATTTTGGGTACGTCCAGACTACCCGCCGTATCAGCAGGTAGCGATCGATTTATCGGGAATCGATATATCTCGTCTCGTTAAGACGCAATATATCGATCCCCAAACGCGCTCCCCGTCGACTCTGGAACTCCTCCGGAGCGAGCGGCGGTAGCGGAGTCGACGGGGGAGCCGCGGCCATCAATCCCGCACCGTGAGGATGGGAGGTAAGTCGGAATAAGATATGTCGACTTCAGCTACTGTATTCCCGTAGCTGAAGTTGCGTATCTTACATCGACACCCCCCCCCCCAGTGTAGACCAGGCCTTTGTGTTATGTGAAGAGGTACTTCCTTATTTTTGTTTTAAACCTGCTGATTATTAATTTCATTGGGTGATCCCGGGTTCATGTGTTATGTGAAGGGCCAAATAACACTTCCTTAATCACTTTCTCCACACCATTCATGATTTTATGAATCACAACCCACAATCACCAGGGGGAGGGACAACTCAGTGGTTTGAGCATTGGCCTGCTAAACCCAGGGTTGTAAGTTCAATCCTTGAGGGGGCCACTTAGGGATCTGGGGCAAAATCAGTACTTGGTCCCGCTAATGAAGGCAGGGGGCTAGATTTGATGACCTTTCAGGGTCCCTTCCAGCTCTATGAGATAGGCATATCTCCATATATTAAATCCCTCCTTTTCTAAGCAGACCAGTCCCAGTCTTTTAAATCTCTCATCATATGGAAGCTGTTCCATATCCTTAATCATTTATGTTGCCCTTCTGTGCTTTTTCCAATTCTAATGTATTTTTCTGAGCTGGAGCAACCAGAACTGCACACAGTATTCAAGATGTGGGTGTATCATGGATTTAATATAGTGGCATTATGATTATTTATTATCTATCCCTTCCCTAATGCTTTCTAACATTCTGTTAGCTTTTTTGACTACCACTGCACATTGAGCAGATGCTTTCAGAGAACTCCCTAAAATGACTCCAAGATCTCTTTCTTGAGTGGGAACAGCTAATTTAGACCCCACTGTTTTGTATGTCTAGTTGGGATTACGTTTTCCAATGTGAATTACTTTGCATTTATCAACACTGAATTTCATCTGCCATTTTGTTGCCCAGTCACGCTGTTTTGTGAGACCTTCCTTTGTAACTCTTCACAGTTTGTTTTGGACTTAATCTTGAGTAATTTTTTATCATCTGCAAACTTTGCCACCTCCCTGTTTGCCCCTTTTACCTGATCATTTATGAATATGTTGAACAGCACTGGTGCCAGTACAGATCCTTGGGGATTAATTAATTCACCAATTCTCTTTTCCTCAAAAAATATATACATTTTAAAATTAGGTCTATAAACATTTTGAAACATAGAAAATATCCTTACACATAAAATCTATTGTATTTTCATTAACACCTAATCTTTGTCTCATTTCTAACCTTATTGATACATTTTAGCCTAGCAAAATGATCATCATTAGAACAGTACAATCAGTATTTTCAGATAAAAATAACTTTACAGTGTTTTTTTGCAGTACCCCTATCTTTGCATTGTGGAATATCACAAATACTACTGTAATTGTCAAGGCTTTTTATGGTGACTACTATACTGCACTGTTGCCTGGATCTATCATGCAATGCTTACACAGACACAACCTCTCGACTGAATTCAATAGGAGTTTGGCCTGACCAGAATCATGACTAAACATTTGGAGAGTGCAGAAGCTGTGTATAAGACACAAGTTGTGTGTATGTGTTTATAGTATCTGTATTTAAGTATACCCAGGTCCATTGTATTTATGTTCACATTTTATATGAAATATTGTTTTTATATCTATATAGATATAAAATAATAGAGAGAGGCCTATATAGAGAATATCACATGTGCACACATACACATGCACACTTTCCTACACACTTATTTGGCTGGCAATATGGAAAACACAATTTAGGTGGATTAAGGTCAGTCAGAATAGATTCACAACCATTTACTTTTCAAAATTCTACTGGACATACATTAAAGTACACTTTTTTTTTTTTTTTTAAACAGATCAAAGCTAGTATTATGTGACTGGCTAAGCCACAAGGAGGACGGTGATATAATATCAGGGCCTCCTTGCTATTGTGCAATTAGGAGTTTCATAGTGTTTTCATTATAAACCCTGTAATAGATTTAAGAACTGTGTGGGCTGTAATTTTGCATACAAGATTTTAGAATGTGGGGTGGGTCATTTTGAAATCTTTTTTTTTATATATATATAAAACAATGGTCTATTTTGGAACATTTTAGTGCTTGTATTATTCAAATGTGATTGATTTAAATTTTTTAAATCAAGCAAGCAATTAGTACAAAAATAGTCTTATTGTATTGCACTCAAATAGTATTTTTAAAAGACTTTACACTTTATATTTCCAATTTAATATTATTTTACCACATACAATGAATAAAACAGGATGCCCATTTTGGACCCTTCATGATTTAATGATAAGAATGCATATTTGTAAAGTTGTTTAAAATATGTGACAGGCTGCAGTCTATTGTATCAGCTGCCATACATTTACATGACCGATTTTAACGATCACAGTTAAGAAAAACATTTGCACATAGAAAATAAATGTACATTAAAATAGTTTCCTGGTGTCTTTATGAAGAGAAAAACGCCTTTGGATTCACCCATTTCTAGAACTGGCCACATCCTACAGAACCCCAAGTGTAAAATGTTTATGTGATGTAGTTTTTGTTGACATGTTGGTAGAGCTGGAAGAATTTTCTGTCACTATTCCCTCAAATATATAAATGAGTTCATGTTGGCTCTTCTCGTGCTCCTTTTAAGTTTTCTGAGAGAAAGCAAGGAAACACAAGTTATTGGGCTCAGTACTGGGGGAACTGGGTGAAATGTCATGGCCTGCTAGATCATGTAATCACACCTCTGTAGAAGACCCCTTCTGGCCTTAAAAATAAAAATCTATGAAGTTATGAAGTAATTGAGTTTTACTGTCCCTAACATTGGTGGGAACTAAAACTAGAATTTTCATGTGAGTATTCATTCCAGAAGTGTTTCCGCTTTCATCCAATCAGAGAATTGAAATACCTTGCGACTTTAATCACAACTAACCAATACAAAACAAATATCAAATGCTCCACATGAACCATTCACAATGAATCTACAGTGTGGAAATAAAAATTGTCAATAATGAATATATGTAAGGAAGTCACAATCTGCTTCTTACAGATATTCTGGGAACAATAAGGAAGGCTAAATTAGTTGGATTATAAATTGTTCATTGTGAATCATTCATTCAGCTCTGCTTGAGAAAGTGGGCAGGCGGCTAATTATCTATGGCATAAATGTAATTACTTTTTGCTGTTTTATGTTCTATGCAACACCTATATCAGATGTGTGCATAAGGAAATTAATAATAAATGTGACTGGGAACCCCAGTTTTCATAGGGGTAAATTGAACTAACCAGAGGATGATGCTCAGAGTTTGAAATACAATGATACTCAATGCTGTCTCCATCAGTTGGTTATTTCAATACCACTTGTCATCTCACTCACCTGTCTTAGAATGACACTGTTGTCGCAGGTTCTGTCACATTAGAAACTGGAGTAAAGTACCTCTGCCTGGAGGACTTTTGTTCTAGTTTAGGAATTTCTGTCACATGCTGCCGCTGATGAAAAATCTCCCTGATGCTTCCGGATTGCTCGTGACAAATGAAGAATTCAGATTTCTCACTGATGGACTGAAATAGTGGGAAAACAGTGTATGGCCAGACTTAATGAGTAACACTGAAAGCTACCACCACAGCTGTCACTGATTGTAGACCTCCCTTATGTTGTTATGGCATTTGTACCTAGTATCTCTCTCAGTGCCAGTGAAGAAAAAGCCCATTTAATGGGGGTTTAATTTTCCATTGCATTTATTTTATACTTATTTGATGTGCATTGTTACAGTGTATTCAGGGCTGTGCCACACCTCCAGAATCATTTGAGAGGCCACTGTTGTATCACAACTAAACTCATTACATCTTCTCTTCCTATGCATGTCTGTATCTTTATGCTGTGCACAGAGTACCTAGTGTAGTAGTTAGCTTACACAAAGAAAAATTCACACTGCTACTGCTCGTCTGAAAACAAGTTATAATAAAAGACAATATTCCTTTATAAAACAGTGTTTAAATACTAACACAACGCTTTACATCTGTACTTCTGTTGTTTGTATGAAGATCTGTGTTAAGTTTTTGGCAATCTGACTCATTTACTTCTGAAATCACAGACTTTATGGAAACACATTGTGCTGACACACAAAACAAACACATGAAGACAGCTAAACTGGAATTTAAGAGACAGGAACAAGCTTTGGCAGAATTGGATTATTTAAGAATAGCCATCACACAGGTAACAACATGTCACTCTGGGTTTATGGTCCAACATTTTTAGAACACAAAAAATATTCTCTTCAACAATATTAAATTACAAGTAAAAGACAGAAAAGTACTGCCAACCTATTTATCCCCTTCCACATAAGCTCTATAAGAGTCAGATCATTCTCCTAAATACCACATCAATATGGTTGCACATCATTTGAATTAAATTTACCCTTAACAAAATCAGGTGATTTCCCCCTCCCACTCCCACTTGTAGGGAATAATTAACTAACTAAAGATAAAAGCATCAGATAAGTTATGCTAAGTAAAAGGGTTGTCTACTTGTGACTTGCAAGACAGAAGATTTATTTGGAATGGTGTCAGTGTGATATCCTATGTTAGCAGTGTATTGGACTGTAGAATCAGATTTTGAACTTAGAGGAAGACTCCAACTCATTGAACATGACTGCAAACAAAATCTCTTTGCTTTAATTTAGTTCAAAATATCCTGTACAGTCTACACTGAACTCAAACAGAATTATGATTGTACAACAGATATTGTAACATTAGTAAAATGGATGTAATGGAAAATAAGTTGTGTCAGGTGAGCACTCTTGATTGACATCAGTCTATATAGCATATCTGGTATCAAATTTATCTCCATTGTGCTAAAGGTAAGAATAGTTTAAACATAATAAAACAAACTTTTTTCTCATTAAGACAAGACAAGACATTTTTACAGCTTTTCAAGACTTCAAATGTTGAATCTCAAGTTCCCTACTGAGTTACTTAATGTTTGCTTCGAAACCAAAATACAGGCTTCATTAGTGCCAACATCATGGTAACACTTTGGATTCTATAGTAAGCTCAGTTATTTTGAGCCAAATGTTTTTTCCCCCCTACATATACTGTTTGTGCTTCATGCTTAGATCAAGTGGCCTTTTGTTAATAACCAGAAAAGTAGCAGTTCAAGTACAACAACATTTTCCCACCCAAGAAAGCTGTAATGTAGGACAGCTGACCTAAAAAATTGTAAGCATGAAGTGCACAGCCATTTGCAATAAACAGTTACCAAATTGGACTATGTGCAGAATGGTGGACTAAAAAATAAGTACTGGAACTACAACTTTTATCCAGTTTGATATGTTTCCTGAAAGGGGAAAATAATCAATTATAGTCTTGATCATGCGTAAAACCACTTGAGAAACTACCAAAAAAGAGTTTGCCATTTGAGAAATTAATGTTGGTTTAACCTGTTTTAATTGTACAAAGAATGAGCCAATGGACTTTCCATTCTTTGCATGTTTGCTCCCCTCATGGGTCCATTACCTTTCACAAAGAAATTTTTAACTATCAAACTTGTCCATAAATTTTGCCGCTGAGGGTGAAACCATCCAGTTAGCATATACACTATCATTTGCATATCTTGAAAACACAGAGTTAGTGCCATCGAATCTTGTGAGTGGAACGGGGCTCTCCTCAGGCCAGTTCGGGTATGACATGCCTAAAAATGAAAACAGATAATTTTTTCTGCACTGAAGAACCATAACTTCATGTGCAGACAGTAAGGCCCTTGGCAAAACTCCGTTCAATACTTTAAGCCAGACCATTGTTTTTTGTCCCCAGTTAATTGATATAAAGTGTGTTTCAAAACCCCAAAGCACAAATTCTGCTGAAGGCAAACACCCTGAACAAATAAAGTGCTGTCTTGATAAAAAAAAAGTGTGTATATCATATAATCCAATAAAAGTTAATAATTTTTCTTGATAGCCTCCAACTTTTCATAATTTTATAGTTTCATGACAATGTAATTACAAATTGCTTTGCCAGAGAATTTATTGCAACTGGAAGTTCTTGCTGTACATACAATGCTCCAAGCAGTAATAAGCACATTTAAGGCAGGACCCAATGTCCATTCTAGTCAATGAAAGTATTTCCATTGACATCAATGGGTGTCTTTCCATTGGCTTCAATAGGTTTAGGATGAGACTCGTATCACCCATCATGATCTCCCAGTAGTACAATGGGCTGCAAGGTTCTGAGCACTCTGACTCTGATCCAGCTATATATTTAAATACAGGTTTAAAGTTAAGCATATAAGTAGTCCTATTGACATCAGTGTGCTACTCATAAATGTAAATTTAAGGTCATGCTTACGTATTTTGCTAGACTGGGCCCAGAGTGCTCAGCATCTTGCTGATCCAGCACTATATGCAAAAATATACCAAGGCCAGCATTTTCAAAAATAGAAGCCTAATTTTGTTGCCTATTTTGGCACCTAAATAAGTGCTGAGATTTTCAAAAGTATTCAGCAATGGGAACTTCAATGGGAACTGTTGGATGCTTAAGCCCTTTTGAAAATCTGACCACTTATTTAAAATTCCAAATATGTATTTAGGAACCTAACCTTGGACACCTAGTTTTAAAAATCATGTCTGGGGAGCAGAGGGGGAAAAAAGACTCAGAGATATTTTCTAATTACAAACACACAGAGTAATGGAAAAGCTTCAGCTTTTAAAAAAGTTTTACTGCTTGAAGAATGAAAAAAATATGATCTTTGAAGTTAGTAAACAGCCAAAAACATGTAGAATATTTAATCAGAAAACAAAATATAGGAGTTTTGGCAAGAACCATTTTTACTGTCCATCTCACCATCACAATATGAAAGCACATGTTCCCTTTCAAAACACTTGCTACATCATTCAATCAGGGCTTAGTGCTAACATTTGCATGATAAACCAAAGGATGTGAAAACAGTCGAAAGTATTTTTATAGTGGCCATCACCAAATCAATTTCCAAAAGACTGTGTAGCTACACTCAGTCCCCCCGTCATCTGTAAATTGTAACCTGATCCCAACCCATGTCATGTTAAGCAGAAATTTCTGCACAAGGACTTAAAACATGTGAGCAGCAGCTGAGATTCAGGAATCCATGTGGATAAACATAAAACTGTAACAAATTGGGCCTCACTATTCAACTGAGCCCCCCAAAAATGTTTAGCAAATGTTTTTTTAAATCCCTGTTACTTAAATTAGAGATATAGAATCTAACATATTTCCCAACTCCACCCCCCAACACAAAAGACTATTTTAATTGGATATTCAGTTCTTAGCCTTTTAAAATTTCCCCTGAGAGTACTTCCCTGATCTATTTATTTCTCCTTATCATATGATATATAGATATATATGGTGATTTTACTTATTTTCACATCCTTTTTAAATCTTTTTTTAAACACAGCTGCAAGACGCCTAAAGTATGATCTTGATGCAAAGTTTGACATTTACAAATAAAAAAAGCTTTCCAAGCAAATTTTGATTGGTTTCATTCACACAAGAAACACTCTAATGGGGTTACAGAGTCTGAAGATAGTGCAGAAGAAAAAAAAACACTTTGTGTGTGTTGCTAGAATCTAGTAAATGCATGTGAAATTCTACCATAGAGTTTGTTTTCAATCCATGTGGAGGGGAGGGTTCGAGGGAGGGGAGCATTATTACAGTCCACGAGTGGTGTCTCCTCTTCTGAGAGCCCGTCATCATAAAGTAAGGAGTCAGAGGGTGTGGAAGCTGCAAGATCTAAGTAGTCCTACCAAATAAATAAATAAAATGCTAGGTTACAATAAGCAACAAAGTCATTCTCAGTTATAGTTGCTAACACATTTCTGGGTTCCCTAGACTGGGCAACTGCAAACTCAAAGTGGGCCCTTCTATAGAGAATACCAACTGCTTAATCTCCTGTTTTCTGCAAGAGTAGTGTCCTCGGCAATGCACTTGTTTGCAGAAACACTAGACATGCTTCGACAGAAACATGCTCAGTTAGTGCTTCTCCTGTTGAATGCTGCTTGCCAACGAGTTAACTCAAAAATCACACTGATAGATAGGCTTTAATTTCAGCTTTCCTCTAAACTTAAAATTCAATGGAAGGACAGGGTGCTTAACAATGCCTGGAAGGTGCTCTCACCATTTTGCAGCATTTGGCCCATAGTTCTGTTCAGGATGCTGGTTGTTTTGTTTTTAACTAGGATAACCATTTCAGACAACATTGCCCAGTTCAGTGTTACTGTCCAGTCACTGGATTATCCCAGATATTCTGTCTGTCATACAAAGCAGACAACTTTTTGGGTTGGAAATTTACTTTTAGTTCAATACATTGCTCTTGTAATAGCCTTTTGGAACCTCAAAACAAAAAACTTTGCTCTTACTTTGCATTTCACCATCACTGATTTAACTTTGATTTTTAAATTTTCCTATAGAGCATAATGGCTCCCTTCTGTTCACTTCTTAATCTGTGCCCAGCAACACATGCCCAACCCAGAATGGATTAGTTCATTTGTTCTCCCTCTGCTGGATTTGTAACAGAGGAACAATATTGTAGGTCTTACCTAGAGAGTCACTATTGTTGGAGATTTCTAATGTTTTTGCAAAACAGGGATTTTATAAATATATATTGGTAAGTGCACACACACTCCTATTTTTAGTCACCTGCCTCCACTTCTGTGTGCACATGTACACTTGTATGTGCTCATTCAACTGCACATGCCCTTTTCCAGCACACACAAACAACTGGATTTTTCCATGAAAAACTTCCATTTGCACTGATAGAATTTCCATGCCTAAGCCAGATCAAATAAGTGCACATACAAGTATTAATATTGGAAAATATCCATTTAGGTGGATGTATGTTTGCAGTGTGTACTAGGGACTCAATCCTGCAAGGTACTGATGGAGATACTCATGGGTTTTAAATTAAGCGCATGCATAGGTGTTCTCAGGACAACAGTGCTCAGCAGTGTGCAAGACCAAGTCCTAGATGAGGATGTGTAAAGGCTCCACACTGACAATGAGGTCCTTTGAATTCCCAGGAAAATCCCTTATCAGATTATGCATTTGAAAGTAGACAGATTTGGAACCAAATGGCTTTAATATTTTGTTGCTCCTATCACATCTTTAAGAAATCCCAAATCAGAAATGACACAATACTTGCTTTGCAATATTTTAGTCATTTAATTTGAGGCTTTCTACTGCTTGATTATTGAGTAATGCAAATTAAAATTAACTCTGCAATAATAAATTTGTTACTAAGGAAACTAAGTGGTAAAATAATCAACCACACAACATTTCTAGGTCTGAAATCTTCAAAATCACCATACAAAAAAAACGATGGAACTGCTTTTGGAAAGCTTTCTGCCATCTGGAGGAAATAAGGTTTTTGGATGCCTTTAATCCTGATCAAAATAAGAACTTTTCTTATCAGAAACTTATTTCTCTGTGCTACAACCAAGCTCTTTGGATTGTAAACATTCCCTACTAGTTTTCATTAACTGTGCAAAACTCATCTTGCAGCAGACTTACCCTACTCTTCACCATCATTTTCTCCAGTTCTTTGCTGATGTCAGCAAATGTTGGCCTCTTATCTGGTTCCTGTTTCCAGCATCGCAGCATCAAGTTATACCTATGAACCAAAGTAACACATAATAAGATCCTGCATTCACCAGTGGTTTGGTTTTCCTTTCTGCTCAAATAAATCTACAGTACAGTGATCTGGACACTGTTTTGAATGCCACTCAGAGAAATATCTCCATCTTTCCTTTTTCTTATTTATGTAGCTAAACAATTTCTCCATGGGACGAGGCCCTAATACTGCACTGAGAGTCACATGAGTGTACCTTTATTCCCAGGAGATGCTGCATGTAATTAAAGCCCCAGGCATGTGGATCTCTTTGCAAGATTGGTGTCCAAGAGTAAGTCTACACTGCTACTGGGAGGTGGGATTCCCAGCGTGGGTAGACTCTCACCCTCGCTCAGCTCGAACTCTTGTTCTAAAAAAGTCAGTGTGAACGCTGTGGCACTGGTGGTGGCGTGGGCTAGCCCCTCAACCCCAAGCCTGCCTGACCCCAGTCCTGCAACCCCCACAGTGCTATTTTTAGCATACTAGTTTGAGCTGAGGTATGGTGAGTGACGACATACGCTGGTAATCAGACCTCCCAGCTGATCCCTTACACTTCTCCTGTAGGGTGACCAGATAGCAAGTGTAAAAAATCAGGACAGAGGGTGGGGGGTAATAGGTGCCTATATAAGAAAAGCCCCCAAAATCGGGACTGTCCCTATAAAATTGGGACATCTGGTCACCCTATTCTCCTATGACTTTTGCTTTCTCGGACAGTCACCTAGAAGAACAACAAAACAACCGGTACAGGGGGAGTTGATAGTGACGCCAATGTTTAGGCTGCCTAACACTTCCCACCTGCAAGATTCTGGCAACCTTTCCTTTGAGAAACTTTCACATCTCCATTGTTTGCCTCGGGCCTTTGGTATTTGGCAGGGGAAAAGTCCTCTGGCTACAGAAGTGCTTTTCCTTTATGGTATGAAATTCCATTCAGCTTTTGCTGAGATATAAGCTTTCAAAATAATTTCCCTTCTCCTGCTCTCCTTCCTCAGGAAAGTGTTGGCAGCCTGCTAAAATAATAACTGAACACATGAATATTCTAAGGGCAGACTCCACCGCCACAAAATCAGCAGCACCACCACATTGTTCTGGAAATAGCTGGGAGCAGCCATAGTGGCGGGGAGGAGAAAAACCTAGACTGGGCTTCCCTCCTCTGGATCCAGCACCTGGACCTAGTGGCCCATTCTTCCCTCTGGGGACAACAAATAGGGCAGGAGCTCCCCCAACTCCCAGAAGGGAAGAGAAAGAAAGAATTGGGCCAGGCTGAGTTCTCCCATGACACTCTTTCTGGACTCAGCAGCCCACCCAGATAATGTAGTTAGAGCTATAGCTTAAATGACTTCTGCTGCAGTGCTGCAGGTTCAGGATTCAAACCCCACTGGTGCTCAGCTGTTCATAAAAGAAAGTGGCTTCACCATTTTCCTTAAAAACCAAACAGAAACAAACAAAAAAACATTTTGAAATTATATTTAAATAACCCTACGTTATAAGAATTCTGTTTAGGTTGCAAATTCAAGCACTTGAAAGTTAAAAAATGCCAGATTTATGATTGGCTGTACAACCTTAATTCACACCCTCCCTCTTGGGCATAGGCATTATGATACTATGTGATCATGTCATTAAAGACTGTCTCAAAAACACATGTGCATAGGCTGTCTGAATTAAGTTTGCACAGGCAACCATACATCTGGCATTTCCTAACTTTTTAGTACTTGACTTTACAACCTAAATAAGATTCTTCTAATCTCACTTTTTTTGGATTTATTATATTAAAGATGGAGTGAACTGCTTCAGAAAAGTTTGCATACCTTTAAAAAAGGGGTAAAGCTATGCATTCCCACCTCATTGCTAGACTGGATAATTTGGAGCATGCATAGAAAAATGGGTGTTAAGTAGTTCATCTTAATGCAGTCTTTAATGTCCTAAAATAAACATCTACCCAGGTTGTCCATCTAAGAGAGACGACAACAACAATGCCATCAACTCCCCTCCACCCCCTGCAAACTTACACAACATTAGCAACTCAAAAAAGTATCAACAATGGAACATAATTGGGGGTGGGGAAGGGGACATTTGAAGTGAATGCTTGAGGAAGGGAAGACGGGTGAAAATTTAAAATATTTAATTTTGCTGGGGGCAAGTCTGGACTTGAGATCTATGAATCTAAGTTCAACAGTGTCTCAGTGGTATCTCTGTGTATGTGGTGCACAGAAAAAAATGGCTGTACTATTTATGCTGCTTTTTCTCACCACACATGTGGGCAAGGTCAAGACTCCTGAAGGGATCTCGCTCTTGTTCTCCAAAATTCAAATGAGACAATGCAGTCTTATGTGAATATGGCTTAACAGAGGCTGATAAACAGTTTTAAAGCTCTGTTTGTTTCATTTTCGGACACCATAGACTATCCAGGAAGATGAGATATTTCTCTCTCTCATTGAGATTTTCCTGGTTAATTGCCTTTTGTAAATAAGTCAATTAATAACACATGAACTGTTTTACAGTCACAGATAAACTGAAATGACTCACTAAATCACAAAATGTTTGTGTTATACAGGTATTGATTTCTGGATCAAGGTATCTTCTCTTCAGGGTTCTGTGCACTACCAGGAAAGTCAGACAACTGACAAACCATTTGCAGGGAGTACATGGAGCACAGATATTAAAATAACCACCTTATTTGCAGTAAAGTGGGTTCCTAGTATTTGGATGTGCTTCAACACATCTTGAAGAGATCAATCATCACTATGTTAGATGCATTTCTTCTCCCCCACCCCCATGTTCCAAATATTCAACCTACACTTTTTCATTAGCCTGAGGAGTACTTTATCTAATTTTCAGCAAGTACTTTGGCAATAGATGCGGGTGCTTGGGGACTGCATTTCTTTTAGTGCACATTTAACACAGATTGTCACCCCACCTTTCTGCCATTTTATGATGTCAGAGTTCTTTACTTTTACTAGTTTGTTCTCAGACTTCTCTAAAAGTCATGCTGCAGATGGCTGTTATTTACACTGTTTGCCCCCTTTGTTCAAGGACATTTCTATTAATCCAAACAAAGCAAGAACTACTTACATTTCTTCACTGCAGTTTTCAGGTCTCTCCATTCTATAGCCAGTTTTCAGGAGGTTAAAGAGTCTTTCAGGAGCAATTCCAGGATAAGGATTACCTCCCAGGGTTACAATCTCCCATAGCAGAACTCCAAATGACCAGCTGAAAAAGGAAGGAAGGAAGGAACCATTCACTTGAATTACTAGGATTGAAGAGCTTAACATGGCCCCTATCCAGCAAATAGTACAGTAGCACTTAAAGGTTCCAAGATCAAGTTTCCATTATGCTAGGTGTTGTATGAATCCCTGCCCCCATCTATTACATTCTAAATAGACAAGACAGACCAAGGCATCAACCACAAATCCATCCTTCTTTGTATGCACATGTCTAATTTTACCTAAATGACCCCCTTTATTTTAATAGGCTTACTTGTGCTCGTTTAATGAATCAGGGCCTTAATTTTGTTCTGGGCCTAATACAGAAAGCAGCACTGGTCAATTCTATTTGGAAATTTGAAATGCACCCAAAAAATGGTGACATTTTGATTTTTTTTTTTAAAGGGAAGAAAATTGAGTCAATTTTTCTATCCACTTTCTGACCAGCTCTAGTAGAAAGGCCTTGACTCAAAGGGTTGGAAATAAGGGTATGTGTTTACCCCCACCCCCACCCCCAAAAAAAGGTTCCTTTCCTGAGTGGAAGCCCTCTTTCAGAGGCTTGAGCAACCCAAAATCTAATCCAGACCCTCATTTCAACCCCCCCCAAGATTTCAGTTTTCACAATGCGGGGTGAAGGAAAGCAGGCAACAGTGTATTTTTTCACTTGGGTTGATGGAATGCCTCTGAGAACAAAGTTATGTACAAAGTGCAATAAACATTCACTTTTGCCATCTGACTTTTACGCGAGAGCTCCACCTTTAAAAAGAGACCTAGAGGAGTTAGGCCACTAAAGTCCACTGAAAGTCAATGAAAGTCATGTGCCTAATTCCCTGAGGCTCCCTTGAAAATCCCACCTCAAAATTTTAGCAACAGAAACTGCTCTCCTCCTGACTAGGTTTCACTTGTCTCCTTGTAGTTCTTTTATTTTAAACAAGGGAAATGGCATTCCCAGGCCAGGACGTATTAAGCTCCAAGATGGCTATGCGCAGGGAAAAAAAAAAAGAAGAATTGCTAGTCTCCCACAGCCTTACATGAAACTTTCAAACAGCTTTTTCCTGCTGATATTGTGTAAGTTCATTTTTAACCAGTCTATATCTTCCTTAAAGCTCATGCATATTTATAACGTTCCATTGCACTTGATTAAGTTTTTCTATTCTTCCTCATGCCCTTTATTGAGTCAGTTATTCTGTGCACCCTATCAGGTTATAATTTGACCTGTAAGTAATCCAGAAAGAGTGTGTGGCATTGTGGGTTTTTATGTTTAAGATTCTTTGTTTAAGTGAATTTTTTGGAGGCTCTGTAAGAGGGTGTAGCATGTTGGTAATTTCTCAATTAGCTCCAGCTGTTTGTCAAATTTGTATGTTAGGATATCGTACCTTAGTTTTGTAATTATAAAAATTACCGGTAACTAAGTGTGTGGGGAGGGGGGAAATATTTTCCATTGTACAGTCTTTGTGGATGAATAAAAATGTCATCAGAGAGATGGGGACAGGAAGACTGTGGGCACTGGTACAATGTGTGTCTAGGTTCCAGCATAAAAAGCAAAGGTTTTCGCAGCAGGGTTGGAAAAAAGAAACGATAGAAGCTGGCAACTTATACTACTGCTAGATCACTGCCAACTACTGACTATATACAAGGGTCTTAAAAGGAAGCAGCTGGAAAAAAAGAGAGAGAATTTATGAGGAAAATCCAGCATTCGGGAATGGATTTTAAGTATATTAATAGATGGTCACTAAAACCATCATTGCATCACCCCAAACAGCACTGAATATTTGTAGATGATATTTGTTAGCAAATGTAAATTTTTAAAAATCAATTTTCAAATAAAGTAACCCTTTAATTCTTCAGTGTTACACTGTTGGAGTAATAGCCTGGAGCATGGGGTGTGTGTATAAGAGGCTGCAGGAGACTAAACCTCCCCAAATAAGGCTGGCAATGCAGGGGGGGAAAATGCTGCAGATGCGATGCTGGTCACCTCCCTTGGAGGCGCACCGGCCCGCTGCCTTTCGAGCACTGGAAGTGAAGCTCCCTAGAAGGGGGAGGCCCACCAAGGCTCAGACCGGGACCCCACCCACGCTCTGCCCTGAGGCCCTGCCTTCACCCAGCCTCTTCCCCTGAGGCCCCACCCATGCTCTACCCTGAGACCTTGCCCTTGCTTGCCTATTCCCCCAAGGATCCCCTCGCCCGCCATTTGCTCCTCTCCTGGTGCTCTACCAGCCTGGGTGAGGAAGGAAGTAGTAATGTGAGAAAGGAAGTGGAAAACAAATCTGCCCATGCAATCACTCTCTAACAACAGGCACAGGTACTTGCATCATGTGGCTGCAACTTGGTTGTTCATTAAGAGTCTGATCCCGTTCCCACTGAAGTCATTTGGAGTTTTGTCATTGGCTTCAATGGGAGGTGACTCAGGTTCTAAATCATTAGTCTTTTTGCTGGGTCTGCCAACAAGAGTGGGTTCTGTGGTGCGCACACTAAAAACGGGGCTGAGACCATCAAATCTCATTCCACACAGGCCAACAAAGGGCAATCAGATTGCAACCTCCTACAGTCACTCATGATTTAGTTTTTAATTTAATGGGTCACCTACAATTTTAAAGTTTCATATTTATCCCACCATTACTGAGAGACTGAGTCATCTGGGCTCTCTGATATTTGTTATCTTCCAACTTAGAAGCTGTGGCTATTAAATATGTTACCGTAGTTCTTTGTGAAACTCTATACAACAGACACAAACTGCATAAGACACACCACAATTTAGACTTACACATCACTTTGTGTTGTATAGATATGATCAAATAGGGATTCTATTGCCATCCATTTAACAGGTATTCGACCCTAAGAGAAAAAACAGCAACACAATTACTAAGTTAGAAGGTTAAATTTAATGTTGGTGCATTTGCTTTCACAACAGTAAGATTTATACTGCACTGTGCCTCTCTGATATGCTTCAGCAGTCTAATGACTGAAGTGACATTTCATCAAATAAACAGGGAGCAGTACAGGTTAGGGGGCACAGCGATAACCTCTCTTTAATCACCACTGAACTTTACCATTCATTCTAACCCAACCAACTTAGGAGGACCCAGTTTTGAAAGGACATGCACTCAATGAACAGTGATTTTCAGACATATTACATGGTCAACTCAGATCACTGAACCCTCCTATCACACTAAACCTATACTTGTCAACATGAATTGCTTGCCACCCATTAGATACACTTCCAGAGCCTAGTGGGAGTTGTGCAGGTGCAAAAGGAGATGGAGAATGAGGCTATAGGAGTAAGATCTATCCAAATGAAAGATGAATCGCAAGTGAAAAACTCAGGTTTTAGGACAGCTTTGGCTTCTGAACTCAAGTTTCACTCGGGCAGTTATACTTGTTCAATGGCTGCTTAACAAGCTGTGCAAACTGCTGCTTTTTGGTCTGAAATACACATGTTAAAATCTCAGATCTACACCAGCTATTCACAAAGATCGTGGCTGTGCAAAATGCCAACGTCATTTCCAGGATGCTTCATAACATCCACAAAAGCATTCTGGATTTGTATTTTCATAAATTTTTCAGGCAATGCACATGTATTTGGAAAATTTTTCTATATATATTTGAAAGGTATTCCATTCTTTCTCCCATTCTTTCCTCCTGCTCTCTCTCTACCCAAGTTATTTTTGACAGCAAACAATTGTTTGTGTTGGAAAATTGAATATGCACTCGGAGATACTATGGTGAGGAGGGCTATATCAGTATCTGTTAACTTTATGGGGAAAAATTTATGTATTAGAATAAATTGTTCTCAAATAATTTTTGCAGAGGAATAGGTACAAATAGATAGCATTCCTTCAGTATAAAGCATACATAATAGAATGGAGTGGATATTCCTAATATACTATCTAGTTATATTTTTAATTGTCTTTGTCCATGGTCACTTTTGTATTTGCCTCCTGCAAACATCATGCAATTGAGCATTATTGGCTGGAATTGTAGTGGAAAACAAACGTCAAAAAGTCACAGTATTTGTGGAAGCCAATATTTGAAATTCTCATGTGTGAGAATTCATGCTGGCAGCACTTTCACACTAACCCACACAGGGAACTGAAGCAGTATCACAGAAGATTGAATGGTCAACATAAAATAGTATTACTGAATTTCACAAACTGAGCTTGGATACTGGCCTCATTTACATGCAGAAGGCCCACTGATTTCAATAAAAATTGCATGCATACAGGCTTATGGCAGAATTCGGCTCAGTGTGTTATGGCAATATCTGCTATGATAATAAATAACGACAAGTCTGAACTTGTTTCATAATCTTGAGGTTATCATAATAGTTCTTTTTAGGGAAAGCCGTGATATGACTAAACAATGAGAGGAGCTATCCTAATACCACAGGAGAGGCTTTCCATCAAATTTCCTTTGCACAATCCTACAGATGAAATGTTACCATATGCTGAGTTCTGCCATGAGCACAGTGAACAGACAGAACTATTTCTAGACAGCTGATAATAATTTACTGTGACAGGAAAAATATAATTGCTTTAAAGAATCCGAGGCATTCCAAACTGGCAGATGGGTATCTCTACTATCTATAGCAGAGATGGGCCCAAGCTCTGGCATTTGGATCTGGATTTTAAACCTTGTATATTTCAGAGCTGTTTGGAGCTGGGTTTTGGTTCAGATCATCATAGCTATAGAAGAAGCATTCATGAAACTAGGATCTGGATTTAGATTCCAATTATGAAGTTTTCAGCCAGAACTAGTTCTGTTTTAAATGATTGCCAGCTCTTTCTGCCTACTTTTTCTTCAATCCCTTGTTTTGTGGGCTTGGCAATTATAAAAAGAGAGGGAGAGAGAGACTAATGGCTTTTTTGTATAAAGTAGCAAGATGAGGCCCTAGATTTTGTACCCTAAGTAACTTACAAACTAACAGCTATAAAAAAAATTACTACCTGAAAAATACTTGAAAGGAAATAGGATTATATTTGAATATATTTGTCTTTATTATTGATAGATCACACATTATTTTTAAGGCCCTTGTTCACACTACAGCTACAACACAACACAACACAAAGACCGGAGAAATCGTGGTTACAAGATGCATGAATACATGCTTTCCAAAAATAGTCCAGGGTTTTAATCCACTTACAAGGACACAGGTGGTCCTACTGTATCTATATTGTCACCATGTCCTGTGACTGGGTTGTAGATGTGGTGTTGATGGGGCATTACAGTAAAATACAAAGATCAGGGCCGGCTCCAGGCATCAGCTTACCAAGCAGGTGCTTGGGGCGGCCACTTCAGGGCGGGGCGGCACATCCAGCTGTTCAGCGGCAATTCGGCCGACGGTCCCTCACTCCTGCTCGGAGCGAAGGACCTCCTGCCAAATTGCCGCCGCAGATCACGATCGTGATCACGGCTTTTTTTTGTTTGTTTGTTTTTTTGTTTGGCTGCTTGGGGCGGCCAAAACTCTGGAGCCGGCCCTGACAAAGATTATTGCACACAGGCAGAAGAAAGAGCGGACAGAAATTAATATTTTTTGCTGATGATATACCGGTAAATAGTGTAGTCTAGTTACTTATAAAGGCCCAAATGATGAAGCTAATTGTTTTGTTTAATCTTTACTTTTTGTTCCCTATTTCCTTATCAGAATTAGCTGTTGTCTTTATTTTCTGTGTACAAGTGCTTCAGTGTAAACCCATTCCCTTGATTAAGCAAGGATTCCAGCCCTGGTTTTAACATGCACTGTACCTTGCTTCTCTTGACATAGGAATCCTCTTCATAAACATCTCGGGACAAGCCAAAATCAGAAATCTTCATTTTGCGTCCTTCTGCCACCAATACATTTCTGGCTGCTAAATCACGATGAACAAGCTTTTAAAAGAAACCAACAATCATGGTTATTATTCTTATGGGGTAAGATGCATGGAGAAACTTCCAGATATATTTATGCCTGTCACGGAGATATGTTCAACACACTGCTGTAGCACTATACCTTCATTTCTGCCAGGTACTGCATCCCCCGAGATATCTGCCATGCAAATGAGATCAGATCTCCCATTGTTAAGGCTCTCTCATCTGGGTTGTCCAAGTAGCTTGAATTTCTGTTGGCATCACTGCCCACATAGCTAGGTCCTACTTTCCGACTTTCCCTGAGAAAACTGCGCAAGGAACCATACTTCGCATATTCCACAATTAAATACAGAGGCCCTGAGGAAAAGAAAGAAAAATACAAATCAGTCATGTTGTTCTGCTCTACTTTTCTAAAGATTTTTCTAGTTAACATCACAGACTGGTTTGTAACAATTACAGGCCCCAATCCTGGAAACATCCTTCCCTCAGCACTGCAACTTGATGTGGTAGAATTGCTTGTGCATTCAAATAACCCTAAGAGCTATGCTGGTGGGGGTTTTAGCTCCCAATAGGGCCATCAAAGCCAGACAGGGACCACATGAAAAGCAGTCTACTGGTCCCATAGGCTGGCATTTGAGAGAGAGGCTAACAACCTATCCTTGTAAAAAAGTTAAATTATAGAAAAACAATAAGTAGCCATTCTGGCAAACTGCCTCATAGACAAGGATGGTAGAATTTTCTTCATGCCCTAGCAATGTCTGATGGCATGGGAAGGATTCAGATTCAGAATCTTGCAAATATGCACTTGAGTGGATGTCCTATGGGAATTCTCTCATGCTACAAGCCCAGGTACTCATGTGCATAACTGCTCAGAGCTATAGAGGGCATCTAACAACACCTACCAAAGCTAAAGTTGTGAAACAGTTTCTATACTAGCCTTGTGTTTTCACATCAGAACCTTAGGGTGTGTACCCCGTACGGCTCTCTACATACCCAAGCAGTGCCTGTTTTTAGGGAAACAATGAGAAGGTACTGGTCAGCATGGCAGGCAGTGGTCTCAGCCCGCCAGCTGCCTATCTGTTGTCAGGTTGTTTTGTAGGCATCATGGCACAGAGTTTTAAACAGTGTCTTTGCTTGGATATGGGGAGCATGTTTACAAGGAAAAAAGGTTTTATTGAACGAAAAATGTGTGTGATATCTATATTTATATAAAATTAGATTGAACTAGTTTTTATTTGGTATAGCCATACACTAAATTTTGGTGTGCTGGCAACAATTATTAAACTATAGATTGGTTCATGGAAAAAAATTAATCCAGTGCATGACACATGACATCTTAAATACATGGGGTGAAATCCTGATCCCACTGAAGTCAATGGCAAAACTCACATTCTCCATGATTTCACCCATGATGTGCCTCTTTTTGTGTAGGTTTTGGAGTGCATATGGTATGTTTTATCATTAGCTGTGAATTCATGTGTATGGTTAGTAACATGCTTATTTAATGCTCTTTTTGGTTCTATTGATGGAATCAGACACATGTGCATACACACACAATGTTATAGCAAATATTAGGCCAGAGCTTGCTTGCCTGACACAGGCGAATAGTCTCACTGATTGCAAGAAGATAGTACCTTAATAAGGTCAGGAGTATTCAAGAAAGCACATAGAATACAATTCATTCATGCAGTAAGTAGCTGCACAAAGATGTTGGGTCAAAATCTGTTCCTCTCAGTCATCTGAGTTTAAATTCAGAATAAATCCACTGACGTCAGTAGAATGACTCTAGATTCACACTGATGAATACAGCTCCTTAGCTTTCACCTTTTAATTTTCTTTTAAACTTAGCTGAAAATCAAGCCTGTATAAGGAATTACTTAAGAAACTTGATTTTAAAAAAATCAAAATTACTTTCTAGAGCGTGTGATATTTAGCTCAGAAACCATCTTCTCCTTCCAGCACACTAATTAAGGTGCCTTTTCAAAGCACTCAAGTATAGGTTCTCAACAAAAATCCTGACATTTCAATCCATTAGCAAGCTTCTCCTCCCCACCACCCACATGAATATCCACTCAGCGCTACAATGCTGAGTACATTTGTCAGCTGTATCAAAGCCTCCACCCGCCATGCATTAATGAATTACCTTCATATTTATGAGAAGTGTTCGACTCACAAACAGTTCACAGCATAATGATTTTATCCCCTCCACAAGGTTCATAAAAAACACTCTGATTTTTTTTTTAAATCTTACTGAGTCTCCCAGATGCACAATCCTGAATTCTACGTGCCCCCGGAATGCACTGTTACATCATCAGGCATTCTGAAGATGCAGGACTGAGCCTTAAGAATTTGTGGCCATGTAAATCACTCACGCTCCATAACAATTGAAAGATCAATTTACAGCAGATATTTTATGGCAGAAGATGTTGCCATGCAACTCCATTTAACATTAATGGGAATTGTTTAGATAAATCCCCATGAACTGCATTGAAAGTTTGCCCCTTTGGCTGTTTATAATACATCTTTTTGAAAATTATTTCCCCCAGTATACACGTCAGTGAAACCAGTTTTTGACAAATGTAAGCATTCACGTTAGCACCACACAACAGAATCATGCTAGTGCAGAAAACTCTGGGGAAGAAAAACTGAAAGTGAAACTAACTAGCAACCTAGTCAGGGGTTAGGTAGTGGGTTGTCCCTTAACTACTTGTTCACTCAGAACCTGGCAAAATGGTGCCCCAATCCCTGATTTGGGCCGTTAGGTGCTACTAGAATACCAAATAATGATCATATTGAAAATCCAGTCTAGCCAAATTAGAAGAGGCTCCCTGAGAACCAACTTAGTGTCAAAAAATAGAAGCAGAAAAAGAAACTGGCCAGGAAATATTTTAAAATAGCTTTAGAATCAAAACATGTTTGTCTCTGACTATATAGGTGGTGTCCATAAGATCTGTGGCTAGTTTTGCTGAAATTAGGATTTCCACTTCTCTCACTCATTCTTAACACCACAATTTTTAATCAATAGCAAATTTATAAAGATATTTTGCATTTTAAATAGTGCTTCAACCCCAGGCTAGATCCATTCTTTGTTTCTCTCTTACTAACTAGCTGCTGACACTTACCATCCTGACTGCATGCTCCATACAGTTTGATGACATGAGGGTGGTTGACCTGTTTCAAGAGGTTAAACTCTGACAGCAGATCTCGCAGCTCACTCTGGGAAGCGTTTTCTATAGAAGACATCGAAACCAGACATCTGGTTAATAAAACACTGCAAAAGGAATGTGCCACCTATAGACTAAGCTATAAATTAGCATACTGCTACCTATTTGAGGTATTGAGATGCACTGGCCAAGTGATTAAGGTGCTCAACTGCAATTCCAGAGGTCATGGATTCACTTCTCACTCCATCTCATACTGAAGGCTAATTCATCCAGAAGCAAAATGGGCACCTGATCCATAGTGTTAGGACTGTGAAAAGCGGTCAGCATGATGCTAGCCACATCACTCCCTTGTGTAGTGTTGGCTATGGAAACTGACATGCGTTAGCCTGATGAGCCATCTGTGGCTTGGGGCAGACTTTGACTTATTTTAGGTACTTGCAGGGGACTAATCCTGTAGTATAAAACAGGTACAATCTAAGAACAAGAATTTCAGAATGCTCTGGAAATGAGCATGAGGATGAAAAGCTTCAAGTGCTGTACTATCAGCTTTGTAACGGTTTTCAGAGAAGAGACAGGGCCTTATTCTTCATTGATGTTCAGTCATTCACATCTTTGCCAAGTAGAGATGGGTGAAATTTTTCAGCTAATGGTTTACTCGCTGAAAAATGCAATTTTGGATGACCCCAAACTGTTCAGGAATTTGACACAAAATAATTTTGGCCAAAAAAATATATTTTCGGGACTTAGCTGTCGTTCACAAAACAGCAGGAGGAACTGGAGGTTGTCATGGGCCCTCTTTATAAATTTTAGCCCAGTGATTACCCCCACCCCCGTGAAGTAGCTTCAGTAGCAGATACTGAAAGATCCTCACACCAGACTATCCCACAGCCCAATGGCTAATGTGTTTTCCTGCAATATGGGAAGACCAAGTTCTCCACATTAGGCAGAGGGGGCCGTTGAACCAGGGTGTTGTGAGTGCTCTAGTACTGGGCTAAAGCTATAAGGAGATGGGTGGCATGACCCCCTTCCCGTTTTGTAAATCTAGACTTTTCAAAATATCCGAAACAGCATGTTTCAGGTCAGACAAAATGGTTTGTTCAATGCAAAATCATTTTTTTTCAATTCGCTGAATTTTGTTTGCAATTTTTGGGAACTGCTGGTGAACCACAAAATCAGTTATCTGTCCAGCTCTACAGTCACATGAGAGTACAGCACTGCCATCTAACTACGTAGCATTTTATACCCACTCTGCACTGGTGTAATTGACTAGATAAGCTGCAAGGCAGTGAAGAATCAAACTCAGATCCTTTTGTGCCATGTAACTGTATTGCAATTACTGCAGCCCTTTTCCACACTACATACAGTAGACAAGATTTAGAGGGCTCTGCACCCGATATAGCAGGAGATCTCCAATAGGCCTAAAGTTAATTTATGTGATGAACCCAATTAGGGTGGTCTGAGCTTTGGGAGTCTACATAAGCCAAGCATTTCTCTTGACCAGAATTCCCTTGTTCAAACCAAGCTTACAGAAACATCCATGGCTTGCCTCAACCCTCTTTTCCCCCAAATACTTAATTAAAAGATAAAATTCAGTTCTACACTTGTTAATCTTGCAGTAGATATCCAGAATTCCAGACTTGGAGCTGAGTAGAGAGTTTGTATTAACATCAATAGAAGATACTTATCCAGACTTCTTTGCTGATGTCAGTGGGATGGGCACTGATTCAGTTATACTATCCCCTTGGCTGTCTGCCAGCATAAAACTTTTTAGAGAACATTCCAGGATAGTGATTTGTTGTTATTGTTTTATTTTCATTTCTATTTGTTCACAATGAAGTAAAAACAATAGCAACACAAAAATGTTTACCCAAGTAATGGGCAAATGTTTTCCACAATCCAGCTCTCATGGAACATTTGGGGGAGCTATCTGAGAAAGAAATATGCATTGCAAAAGGAATTTATTAGAGTTCTTGCTATTACCATAAATGCCTTATGAATTTATTAGAGGAGGGTGCTTAAAATAAAGGGTTACCCTTGACTGCTATCAAGTCTGCTCCAGATAATAGCTAGGGAAAGTCAAATGGTAAGTCCACTGGAATTAAGAATGTCACTTTTTAACAGCATATTTCGAAATTTTAGCTCAGTTACATATTATCGATGTAAAAAGTCACTACTACTTGTAAATGTATAAATAAAGTTGGCACGCTGTAAAGATTATGGATATTCCATTTATAATACCATGTACAAGGTTATTTTAGTGTTACATGTAGAGCTATATTAGTCTTTGTCTCTGAAAGACCAAGTTCCAGGGCTCCGTCTGCACGCTCTGTCTTTGATTTCATCTCTATTGAACCCTCGTTATAAGGAAGCCTTTTTATAAATGTAGACATGCATTTCATAACTCGTTTATTTCATCGGTAAATTGATATAATATGCAATTTCCTTGCACTCAGTGAGAGGATGATGGACTTTTTTTTTTAAGCTTGCACATAATAAAAATGCTAATAAGAAACCCATTATCCTATTGTAATTGTGTTTTCTTATTCACAGCAGCAATTAACGACTGAGGTCATCCAGCCAATGCTTGCTCCCCACCAAAAGAAAGAACTCTTCTACCCAGAAGCATTTCTGAATACTTTTGTTGCTTCTCTCATATTCCTAGGGTGCTTATCTCCTTGGTATATAGGGACCACACACCATTATGAAGTAGTATCAGATTCTAACACAAAGCAGGGTTATTTTGTCTCTGTTCTTTCCATTTCTACATCATCCTTCAGGACAATGCAGTTAAAATTACCTTTCTGTCAAAACAACAAGGTCAGTCCTAGGTTCTGTGGGGCCTGATGTGATCTAAAGGCCTCCATTTGCCTTCTTTGACCTGTGACCAAGGTCTCCCATCTCAGTGATATGGTCCAGATGATGTAGCCATTAGGTGTGAAATGTGGCATAAACCAAAGCCTACCACTGGCTTCACTGGGGGAATATGGTGGTACTTGGTCTGGTATACAGAAAGTGCCAACTCATTATTTCATTACTTTGCTCTCCTTTTTAAGGTGGCATGTGTAGGAGAAAGATAGGTATAGCTGGGTTTGAAAAGAAGGACATATGGATCAGTTTCCTTAATGAAAGAAAGTACAATAGGTAGAGATAGATGGATACAGGAGCCCCCTTCTTATCAACCAGAGTTTGTCTAGTGTAAGTTTTCTTCCAACTCTGTAGCCTCAGATTCTTTGATTTAAAAAACTCAACTGGATAAAACAATAGTCTTATATTAATAATTCTTAACAATTACATAGGGTTTTTCATGTAAGGTTTTCAAAAAAGTCAGCTCAGCATCGGCCTAGCTTTGCTTCCACGGACTTCAAATGAGAGTTTTTCAAATGGACTTTAATGGTGGCATAATTAGAGCAAGGCTGAGAGCTTTTCAAAATCTCACCCCGGGTATATAAAGTGCTTTACAAACTGCCTATTTGCTTTTTTCTATATCTGTGTTAGCTGGGTAAGTATATTACCCGCTATTACACAGATTGGAAAATTTAAGTAGAGAGATGAAGTGAATTGACCATGGCCAGCCTACAAGAGCTGAAGGCTTCTTGGATTTCCTGCCCCTTGCTCAAAACCAGTAGACTACACCTCTATCAAGTAAATACATCAGATCAATCCGGCAAAGGCAGGGAAGTAGATGGATAGCTTAATAGGTCTGTTCTGTCTCTAGACACTTTGTATCTAGCACAAATGATCTACTTAAAAATATTTGAAGAAAAATTGAGATAGATTAATACAAAAAGCTGTGCAGAGTTTTAAAAAGGCTTTGTGATGCTTCAATTAATGACGACTTAAATGAGATACATTTGCCACAGTAACTCACATTGCCCTTGCACAGCACAAGCTAGGGCCTTTGGAAATTACGGTTTGTATCAATGTGGCACTCTCTCTTTCAACGGGAATAGGTCAGTACATAAATAGAATGCTGGAGGAAATGCTGCCAAGACGCTGTCAGGGCCTGCCCCCAGATGGCCTCCTGCATGGACACTAGACCCTTGTGAAATAGATTCAAAGGTTCCCAGATAGCTTTCAAATCATTTCAGGGAAATGTACCTTTGAGCATTTTCACTGCCACCGTGGTGTAGCCTGCTTTCCCCTTGAGTCTGAACGCTGTTGCCTTGACGACCTTTCCAAATTCTCCTTCTCCTAGTGTCTTGCCTAGAACCAGGTTCTTCCGGGGGAATTCCCATTTGGGATCCTCCTGTATGAGGAAAAAAAAGGAATCCTATCAGATAAAATGAGATAGAAGGGGCTATCTTATGAGACAGAAGGGGCCAGCACCTGACGGGTAGCTCAAATCACAAAGATTTAATACAGTATTATATTTCAGGGAAGACATTATGCTCAGTTATCTGATTAATTTTTGTTTTTGTTCCATTATCAGACAGAAGACCATGACTTTTTCTTCTGCAACACCCTCTAAAAGCTCTTTGCAAGCATTTTTAAATAAGCTAGAAATTTCCTCTAGATAAAAAGGCACTAGGTGCAGCCTATCAATATGGATGACGTTTACAGGCCTACCTGAGATTTTTTTGTACAAATGAAACACTGACTGAATAAATGCTCACCTTCAAAATAAAGTATGCATATTTGATCTTGCATTTCTGTTTAACTTGTGGGAGGAGGTTTTCCTTTAAGAATTCATCACAGACAACAATCCATCTGTATGAAGTGCTATTGAGCCTTACAGTTACAGAACAGTGACAAAATGTATAAACCAACCAAGAAATAAAAGCAAATAGAGTACAAGCTACTGTGAAGGCATCAATATCTAACATCCAAATGCATCAGACCCTGCCATATGGGTCAGACAAGAGGTCAGTGTTTCACTGCACAGGACTTTTCCAGACAGCATCCTATTTGCCCCAGGTAGAAAATAAATAAAAACGCACAAGCTGGCAGGCATCCTACATACAGTATAATCAAACAACAGAAATTGCATTCAAGGGCTGGGGGTGGGGGAGGGGAGAAGCCTTCCAAAGTATGCAGATAAACCCACCCTAAACTAAGCTTTATAAGTGAAATTAAGGTAATAGGGTTTTAGTGTGGTGCTGTAAGTCAACGTCCAAGGAAAATCCTGTATTGGAGATTAGCTGATACCAGATTTTATGGAGCCATTAACCTCAGTTTATGTAATGTTTGTTGGATGAATTTTCTTAGGGATTTTTTTTAACCCATTGATTGTTTGCATTTTTACACAATAATTTCTGGCCATCTACAATTAGCCCATGAAATAAAATACTGCCAGGATATTAGCATTCCCCCCCTTAACTAGAATCTTACCATATAAATTAAAATGTAGTCAATGCACTAAAATAAAGTCCTGTGTTCAAGCTCCACAGTGCAGCACGTGCAATCCAACTGAATGCTGGAAGATATTACTAAAACAATGGCATAATTTTTACAGTGCAAGTGCAAATTGTACAGCTAGCTGCAAACGGGAGTAGCCAGTAATGACAGTACTAGGGAACAAAAGTTATTAGCCACAGACTTTCCAGGGAACTAGTTTACTTGAATCCAATTGTTTGTTCCAGTAGAACAATTATTTAGTTCCATACCCCGGGGCAGTTAGCTCACAATCAAACTACTGCACTACAAGAAATTTTATACAAATGAATGGTACAGTAATAGCCCATGCAAAGCTGATATCAGGCTACTGCTCCGTATTTGATAAATAATTCAATACTTTCCATTTGCAGTACATGACAATTTTCATTGAGAATTTGAAATCCTTCAGAAAGTTACCATTGTCTCTCAAATGGGGAAACTGACGTAGAGTGATGATGTGACTTGCCCTAGAAAATATTACAAGTCAATAGTTGAGTCAGGAATAGAGCTCTGGTCTTCTCACTTCCAGGTCTGTACTTAAACCACTAGTTAGTGTTACCTTACATTTAAGGGAGGCAGTGTTTCCTAGTGTATAGCAATGGACTAAGTCAGGAGACTTGAGTTCTTTGCCCCACTCTGCCAATGACCTCCTGCGTGACCTTGTGCATGTCACTTCACCTCTCTGTGCCTCAGTTTCCCCACCTGTAAAATGAGGATAATGCTACTGGCCTCCTTTGCAAAAATGATTTGAAATCTACAAGCAAAGAGTGTTTTATGGGCTAGATGCTACTATTATTTATCCTCATGATAGAGATATTGGTTAGCAAATAGTCTGTCAACATTGACAGTCAGTTTAACCTCAGTTAGTCTAACCCTGTACTGAAGTCAATGACAAAAGAAATAAGGGATTAGACTGTGCCCAGAGTATTACATTTCTTTAGACACTAACAGTAAGAGAAAATGCAGTTGGCTTGTGCAGGAAGTTATGATCTGATTAGTTACCATGCATTCGTTAGAGATTCCCTCCATGTGGGTGATTTTTGTTTAATTTCATTTGAATCATAGACTGCAACCTCTTTGGGGGAAGGCCTCTCTCTTACTAACAGTGAAATTTTAGGCCTGCTGAAGTCAATGGGGCCAGAATTTCACCTTAAATGTTTGTCCAGCACAATGCATCCTCACATCAAAATGTGGGTTTGGAGCACTACCACAGCAGACAACACACAACTTTCCTTAGAAAGCCCAATTCGTGGCAAAACAAAAAAGCCAACTCAAATCAATACGCAATTTAAAAGCGTAAAATATAAAAGCTTACAGGAATTTTAAAGGTGTCAACAGGCACCTGGTTCTCCATAGAGTCCAGAGATGGCCGACGGACATTTGTAGAAGAGTAACTGATGGGGTAGGACTGGGCTGGGCGCCGAAAGGTCATCTCCGCTGAGGCAATTGGTGGTTTTGGAGAATTCTTGTGGTAACGATGGATGAAATAAGAAGAGAGCAGCACTGAGATAATGAAGGAGAGCAGAACTGCCCCTGCAATCACAGTCTTGCACACGTCATCACACAGCGGCTCTGTGGGCAGAGGGGGAATTGATTACAGTTCTGCTGGTTTCGTTTTCAAATTTTCCCCATCTCATCTCTTTCCACACACTCCCTTTGGTAGCTAGTTACCATTCACAACAGCATCTACTTAAAGGTTTTGAATTAAATTTACATTATAACAGTCATTTCATAAGCTACACTAAAACCCTGGATCTAATTCTCAAAGAAAGGTAATAGTGCTGCACTTGCAAATATACCCAGTGCAGCTGCAAAATCCTACATTTTCCCCAAGGTCTGTGGGTAATTGCATGCCTAAATGCCTCTTAAACTGTAATTAGATTTAGTTAGAGTCTTACATCCCTTAGTAGTGCAGGTACTGACTTCATCTGACTTCATATATTCACTTGCCAACACCACGCAGACCCTAGGCACACAATCCCCTTGATATCCATGTCAGATCCACTTCTCTACCAAGTAACATTTCCCCCAGAAGTGTATATTATCCTAGAATCATAGAAACGTAAGGTTGGATGGGACCTCGAAAGGCCATCTAATCTATCCTCTTGCACTGAGGCGGGACCACGTATAACTATTTTATAAGTATTCTCAAGTCTCCCTTTCCCCTTTTTCCTGCATGGGAACCCCTCTCTATATTCACAAGGGTGGTGGTGGGGAGGTTCTTAGTTGTATTATTGCTTTCATTTTGTTTTTTGCTTTTCACTTTATAATATATTGTCCAGTGCCACAAGTCCTTCATGGAGAAGGCTCATTAGAAAACAATCACTACTTCCCCTTTTGCAAGTGCTCCCATTCTGCCTTCCTTTGAAAACAGAGCAAGAGGTTAGGTAGCAATCCTACCCCCAGGAGAATGGATAAGGTGATTCTAGCACCTTCCGCAACTGTCTTTTCCATCTCTGAGTTCTGTAGTTGAGATTTTTAACTCAAGTCCAGTGGAAAGTAATCCCCTAACCACCTTTGAAAATTTCAGACCACAAGTCCATGGTACATTTCCACTGAAATGCAGCCACCTCTGGGGATTGTGGGTCAGCCAACCAGTGTATTGTGCAACACTGGATGGGAGGGGACACTATGCCAAGAACACAGGGACAAAATCCATGGAGAATCCTTAATGTCCAAATCCAGGAGCTCCCTTCTTAATGCTTTGTACGCTGGCAGGCCATGAACGTGAACATTACCCAGCAACATGTAAATGAGTTTAGATGGTTTTATGTATCAAAGACAGGAATATTGTATACAGTAGGAAAGGTTAGCGTCACAAGAGCAAGGTAACTGTAAAACCAGCTAAATAATCTTTAGACTTACCTTTAATATCATCTTTCTCACAGTAACAGTTTTGTCTTGGGAAGCAGTAACAAATCCCATGTCCTGATTTAATTCCATGAGCGCCTCTCTCATGACCACCAATGATGTTTCCAGCTAATCAAATACAAACACAAGCTCAGATTCTCACGCTGTAGTTAAAAGGTAAAGCTCAACAGCTCATTCCACTAATGGGTTTTTGTGGGCTTACCCTACTAAGTATTTGAAATTTGACAATGCAATTCAGATTAAGCAGTAAAAATGAAGATAGGTGAAAAAAATGGAAAAAGGATCTCTTGGGGGTTGATGTAAAGAGATTAGGGAACTCAAAGACTGCTTGAATACTAGTTCTGGGCTCACTGGTTTGATTAGCAATCATTGCTGTTATAGAAGGTCCTGGTTCATAGACTTACATATGGTAGACAAGATGTAGGACACAGTTTATTTTGGATTATGTCTTTACTTTGTATGTGTGGATACTTCCTTTATTTAAAATGGCCTTTAAATGTTGAATATGTATATCCATTATTTAATGTTGATTCCCACTCCCAACTAATCATCTGACCTCTCTCTGCCTTGTCAGGTATCCAAAATCTTCCTTGAAAATTTTCTCTTATATAGTTTAATTTTTCTCTCCCACTACTGCTCTGTGACTGTTGTGTGCCTTATATATGTAGGAGACAGCAGTCTAGTGCTACAGCAGGGAACTGGGGGTCAAGAGACTTGGGTTATATTCCTGGTTCTGACAACCATTTGCTCTGATCTTGGACAAATCAGTTAACCACTCTGCACCTCAGTTTCCCCATCTTCAAATGGGGATGAGGATACCAACTTTCGCAAAGTGTTTTGCAATATTCTGTCGAGAGGCACTATATGAAAGCACTAAAAACTCTGTAAATGAATGTTTTATTGTCTAGGATAATCTATTATTTAGCATAAGGACACACTGTATGTAACCACCCTATGTGCAGAGCTAGCCTGATTTCCAATTGGCAAAGTTCCTGCAGAATCAGGCTCCTTTGAAATCATCATATTAAAATCTGTAAAACACACTTCCATACAGAAACTATCAGTAGAAATAATCTTTTTCATCTACATAGTGCCTTACATCCCTAAGATTTAATAGGATTAAATCAATTGTGTTCTATAGAAATTTAATCAGGTTCTATAGTGGTTTCTGTTCTCAGTGGTGGCAGATGACAGAACAAGGAGCAATAGTCTCAAATTGCAGTGGGGGAGGTCTAGGTTGGATATTAGGAAACACTATTTCACTAGGAGGGTGGTGAAGCCCTGGAATGCATTACCGAGGGAGGTGGTGGAATCTCCTTCCTTGGAGGTTTTTAAGGCCCAGCTTGACAAAGCCCTGGCTGGGATGAGTTAGTTGGGAATTGGTCCTGCTTTGAGCAGGGGGTTGGACTAGATGACCTCCTGAGGTCCCTTCCAACCCTGATATTCTATGATTCTATGAGATTACAGGTATTAAAATGGAGAATGAGATCATTTCTATAGTTATATTTTTAAACTATCCTATAGAATTCTATACCAGGGATATAACTTTTTCTTAAATTCTGCAGGAGGATAAAAAAATCCTCTAGAAAGGTTATGATTTTCTACTAAATCCTACAAGGATTTTCCATAAGGGAATGCAGCTGTCTCTGTGATGGAGGATGGGTGGGTAAAGCAATGTGCTCAAAATTGGGGAACAGGATGTTTTGGCCAATGACATGAGGGCAACCCTCTAATTTGCATGGGGAAAGTGCAATGGGAATTCAGCATTCTTGCAGAGTATATAGGACCTCAGTCTTAGAGATCTTTCCTCAAGAGTCCACATGTGCTAAACTGCATGTGATTTAGGAGACTATGCTAGGTCAACCCCATCAGAGCTGGAACCTGTTCCAGAAAACATAGGTGTTTCCAGACCTGTCATTTGGTCCCCTATGGGACCTAAATTAATTCCCCTAATTATTCCTCTGTCTTGGAGAGGTGAGCACTGATTGCTCCCCGATCTTGCAAGCTCATGGTGGTGGGGGAAGATAACGTAAGATAAGTACAACTGCTTCTACTCCAAAAGTTCTTTGTGAGAGCGGAGGAAGTGTCTCCTTGCATAGGACAGCAAGAGAAAAAACACTTCCACTCTGGATATAAATGGGGCTTCCTCCATTGGATCCAATGCAGCTTATCCTAGCTAGAGCACAGTTACTAGGGAAACTCTGGCTGTTCTACAGATTACCAACGGTGCTACAGATTACATTATGTCTCTATGCCCATCCTTTCATTCAATCAGCAGCTGTTTTCACTGTCTGATGGAGAGCAGGGACTTTCTACCCTGCCTTCAGATCCGATAAACTGGGGCCCTTCCCCAGCACCCTTCCCCAAAGCTGAAAGACCATGTGGTCACTCCAGAAGATCAGAAAACAAATACTGCAGTTTAGATAGGAGCAGAGAAGGTTGGATGTTCACACTACCACTGAACACTAAAGTAAGTAAACAAGATTGAATCCAGCACCGAGATTTTCTTTGAAGTTCAGGTTCTGTAGAACCTAATCTCCCAGCTGAACCTGCAATGATTAGTCCAGTGAAAATCCTTCAGAACCTCTTAGTGGGGTTCACATGGCACAGCCAGCCCTGACAAAAAACCCACCACAGTTTAGAATTATCTCTACTTTAATATTTAAAGTAATTACATACTGTACTGAGGCATCTACAGAAAGGATGTGGACAAACTGTAGAGAGTCCAGCGGAGGGCAATGAAAATGATTAGGGGGCTGGGGCACATGACTTACGAGGAGAGACTGAGGGAACTGGACTTATTTAGTCTGCAGAAGAGAAGAGTGAGGGAAGATTTGATAGCAGCCTTCAACTACCTGAAGGGGGGGAGGTGATGGGCGGTTTCCAAAGAGGCTGGAGCTAGGCTGTTCTCAGTGGTAGCAGATGATAGAACCTGAAGCAATGGTCTAAGTTGCAGTGCAGGAGGTCTAGGTTGGATAATTGGAGGGTGGTGAAGCACTGGAATGGGTTACCTAGGAAGGTGGTGGAATCTTCATCCTTAGAGGTTTTTAAGGCCCGGCTTGACAAAGCCCTGGCTGGGATGATTCAGTTGGGGTTGGTCCTGCTTTGAGCAGGGAGTTGGACTAGATGGCCTGATGAGGTCTCTTCCAACCCTAATCATCTATGATTCTATGACTTTATTTAGTACATAAATAGGTTGCCTGTGCTTGATGGTGACAACAGTGGAACCAATTGTTTTAGCTTTTTTGTAGGGTCCCATTGCAAGTGGCACATGTAATATGTGCATATGGGTGTGCACGTATGTATAATTTTGGGGATTTAAGCGCCAAGTGCCTACCCATCAAAATGATAGATGAATGATAAAAATAAATATTTTAGCAGCTGTCTTATGTACACAACATACTTGGCATTACAACATTCAGGATTTTATTATACGTTGTTTGCTTTTGCCAAATAAATGCCTTCTGCGGATAAAAGCTGAGATAATGGCTCTTGTCAGCACATCTGAACTCTTGAAATGCACTAATTTCTCCATCTGTGAACATATTGGCTTTGAGCACCAACCCTGTGTCCTGAACTGCTAACTCATAACAACATTCTCAATTCATGCATTAACAAGATACATACAGTACATAACATCTTGAAAGCTTGTGTTACTTGCCTGTTTCTATTGTCTAATAAGATTCCATTCCTTTCAGCCTTCTGTCAAGCAAACCATCTGCCACTACATATGTTGAACATTACAGATTTTAGGGAGGCAGCCTCGAGCACATCATTTGCTGCTTGTAAAGTGACAGCTGATTCCACTTATCACCAGTGAAGATTTTTTCAGATGATAGTAAAATATCTATGATCATTTTAAGCATTTCTGCCACTTTAAAGTTTATGTTTTGTTCATAAGCAGAATTAGATTTACCGCGGTCTTGTCTACACTGTGATTTAGCCTGCATCAGCTGGGGTGTAAATTCTAATATGCACCAGCATGTTGCGCACTCACTGGCCCATGTGGACCTTGCTGGCGTGCACTAAAGTTCTTTGGGCCAGTGAGTGTGCAACATGTGGGTGCACATTAGAAGTTGCTCCCCCCTCAGCTGATGCAGGCTAAGACACACTGTAGACAAACCCAATCTTGCTCTGAGTGAATTCAATCGGAGTTTGGCTATTGACTCTAAAGGATGGAAGACTGGGCTCATAACTCTGAACTTTGCACAACTTAAACATCAGCTATAACACTGTAATATAGATATGTGTGTTTAATGTATGCACTGTTTTAAAAAGGATCTGGAACAGTGCTGTAACAAGGGCGAGGTGAGTGAGGCACTTGCCTCGGGCACACAGAGCCGGGGGTGCGCAGAAAGTGGTGGAGACAAAAAAAAAAAGCTGCTGGCACGGAGATATTTATAACAGTGCCTCCCCCAAGTGTCTCCTGGCCCCGACTTGTTGGGAAAATAAAACTTGGTGGGATAATACACATGATTGGAATGTTGGTGTGGATGGGCATGGGCCACTGAGTGCGCAACATGCTGGTGCATATTAGAATTTACACCCCAGCTGATGCAGGCTAAGACACACTGTAGACAAACCCAATCTTGCTCTGAGTGAATTCAATCGGAGGTTGGCTATTGACTCTAAAGGATCGG